CCCCACACTTTTGGATACTTTTCGGCCCATCACATTTTCTAAATCAATTTGAAAATCGCGCACGGTAAGCTTGACAATCGAATTCGCAGGTACGACAAGTACCTGGACAGAATGCTGGACCGAGCAGAGTTGCATATTGGTATCACATTTGAAGAGTTCCGGCGCTTCTATCAATTTCTGAACAACCTGGACGACTTCTCGATAGCGATGCGAATGTACACGTTAGCCGATCATCCGATATCCAAAGGTAAATGGCTGATGCTAATCAGGACTGACGCGTTCTGAAATGAACCGATTTTATTTCTTACTTAAATGCGAATTGTCTACTTAAATGCGTTACGTCTTTTCAATGTCGTCTCTGCTTTTCAGATGAATTTCAACGCGCTGTAAAGATATGCACGGGAACGATGCTTTCGACTCACATAATCGATACAGTCTTCGCGCTATTCGACGTCGACGGGGATGGCCAGCTCTCCTACAAGGAGTTTATAGCGATCATGAAGGATCGATTGCACAGAGGCTTTAAGGTAAGGCATCACGGATATCCACGGATACTTTGAAAACATGTGGCGTTCCAAAATTATCTTACAAGATGCGCCGTGTGAAATATTAAAATGTGGAAACGTCGATGTAAGTCGCGGAGAGAATGTCCTTTTAAATTTTTAAATTTTACCCTGAAAATCGTGTAATCGTGGCATTTTGAACAACTTTGTAAGAATTTTCTGAAATTTTACCGTGCATTTCACTAGTAAACTGTCATAAAATTCTACGAAATGTGCCGCATTGTCCTGCGATTATACGATCTTCAGGATAATTTTAAGAGAAAATTTCGAGGGGGGAAACCGCTGAGGGCATTGTGGTGTACAGATTTGCGGCATTACTGGGCATTACTAGGCATTTTTGGGGCATTAGTTCGGGCATTAGGCCTTGCTGGGGCATTGTAAAGATAAAATAATATAAAATAAGATAATAAGATAAAGTAATGCCCACTGGATATTGATAGACGTTGGTGTACAAGATTTTGGTCAGTGGTTTCTCTCTCGCCGCTGGCCAAAATCTTGTACACCAATGTCTACTAATTTCCAGTGGGCATTACTTTATCTTATTATCTTATTTTATGTTATTTTATCTTTATAATGCCCAAACTAATGCACGCGAGAAAATTCTCTCCGCGTACTCACTGCAACACGGTGAAGAGACTTGTACGAACGGTTGCCACTTCTCAGGCTCTGCAGCGACGCATACTACGATATTATCGGGCAATTTATAAGATGCAATGGAAATATTGCGATAACACTGTTGACCAATGCGAAATAAGTCGAACTTTTGCAGTCTCAACAACGCAACGAGGGATGGGAGGCATTCAAGTTCTGCGTGAAACAAGAGATGAAAGCGCCATGAAGAACAAATGATGAAATACGCGAGGAGCGTTCGCTAATTTACAAAAGTCTCATAAACGCTCAATACTTTCCAGTAACGTTGATCGTTATCGAGTTATTTCATAATTTCCTGCCTTTCTCGTACTGACATTTATTTATTCGAAAGTATATTAAAATGTTTTACGCAATACGCAGCCAAATTTATAAAAACCATACTGTTGTTGAAATGGTTATAATATACATATATAAAAGTCATTATTACTAATAGGAAAACGAGAGCAGTTTGCGTGCTAATTAATAAAAACAATAGAAACTACAAGGTAGAGATTATTCTACGTCTTTTCAACTGTTTCTATAATATTAACTAATCTATTCTTGCTTTGTCACACAATTTCACAATTAATTGTACTTTTCTACGATTCTGTCTCATACAAAAATTCTCTGTAAACTTTTCAGCGAGAATTACTTATGTTAGCAGTTATAGAAAATGCACAAGTTATCATAATACATACTTTGTACATGGTCCATTATGAAAGTAATGCGCATGATTTTATTGTGACGCGACTATTCATCGCAACGGGGTAAAACGGGTCGGGAAATATGGTGGAGGGTTCTGGCCGTTGTTGGGCGTCCAGAACGGGGTTCGTCGGCGATCTCCTCCCGGCCCTCCTTGAACGCCTTGTGCCACCTCCCGGACTGTGACCTTGAAATACAGTCGTCCTTGAAGGCCCCTTGAAGCATCTGGAATGTTTCGGTTGCATTCTTTCCAAGCCGCACACAAAACTTGATGGCGTATCTCTGTTCAAGCGAACGCTCCATGGCGCCGGGTTACAAAGTCGAAAAACACACTTCACGCGAAGGCACGTCTTTCCACTCAGAGTGCTCGGAGCAAACTGGCGACCGGCTGCATTAAAAGGGCAGACCCTCCACCATATTTCCCGACCCGTTTTATCCCGTTGCGATGGATAGTCGCGTCACAATAAAATCATGCGCATTACTTTCATAATGGACCATGTATAATACATGTAAATATATAATAAATGTATAATACATGAAAATTTTAATTTTCAATAATAAATTTTGTAACTTCTGCTGCACCCCCAGATATTGAAACGGCGATATTTGTCAACTTAGCTTCTAGTATTCTTAATTCAGATCAAGTTTACGATTTATAAAACGTCCTATCTGGATGTCTATCGTTGCCAAGATATTAAAATATGTTAAAACATTTTAGCATTTATTCAAGTTGTACGTTATAAATTACTTATTAAAGGTGATGATAATAAATAAGCTATTGCTGTAAAACCCCAGGTACTAGAAACTATTTAAATATTTCGTAAAAAAACAGTCGTTAATGATCATATTATTTCTTATTATTTCGGGTAAAAATCTTCATTAAATTCTACAAGTTTCAGCGAAATGTTCCACGCAAGGTTCGTAATAAAAAAAAACGCTTACTTGCAATCGATAAAAAGTAAATTAGAAAGTTGCAATCTTTAGTTTTTTATGTTCACGTAGGGTTTGCAACGACGTCACGCTGTGGACACTACTTTGATGATACTTCGGCAAGGACGGCTAACGAGCTAAAATACGAATTCAAACGCTTCATGGAGAATCTGATACAGACGTGATAAAATTAAGTCGCTTCACTGTGTCCGCTTTCAAGTTACAAGATACAATTCGTCCTACACGCGGCGGTCCAATTCTACGTGTCTGCGCCGCCGACCGGGCAGCAATTGTTCGTTATCAGTCATCGCACCGATTGTACCGGTACCCGGTGTGCTCTCGTGAGGCAACCCGACGAAAAAAGGCGTGCCGAGGCGCAGACTCGGAACGCGTTATCAGGAGGCTTCGTTACGCACGGAGATTCCGTACAAAGCCGACTAGTTTCGGAATTGTGTAATTACCGCTGTTCGGAGAATGCTCAATGGAAGATTCAGAAATGAAATCATAGGTAAATTCTCCTGGTACCTTGGCGAACCTTTGCAGTTCGATAGCGAGCCCTCGCGGCTCCGCGGCGAGTCCTTGTGACTCATGCGAGCCCTCGTGGCTCCGCGGCGAGTCGTTAAGACTCATGCGAGCCCTCGCGGCTCCGCGGCGAGTCCTTGACTCATGCGAGTCCTCGTGACTCCGCGGCAAGTCTTTATGACTTATGCGAGCCCTCGCGGCTCCGCGGCGAGTCCTCGCGACTCTTCTATGATGTTCCGAAATTCGATTAAAGAAACGGTGACTTCAGCTGTTTATTGATTTCTTTTGGAGTTATACTTAGCAACGCAAAAAATAAATAGTTGTTATTTAGAGAGGAAAACGAACGGACGTATATTGACGTGATATTAAGAATTTCTTCATCATTAATTAATTGAGTTGTTTTCCGCTAGTTTTTTTGTGACCGATGAACTCGGGAGTTTTGTTGTGGCTTATCCTGTGTTTGCTGCCATCGGATGTCTGCTGGCTTCCCGCAATTGTCCTGCACGCCTTGCATCGTGTCGCCACATCTGAACGTGTCCTGCGCTGCCCGAGGTCCATGTCCAGCTGCTTTCTGCATTTCCTGGACGAAGTTGCTGTCATCTTCTGACCGGATTCCTGAACGTCCTGCTTTCATCCTCTTCAAGTGTTCTACGCTCCTGCCATCCAGATCCTTCAAGCCTTATACAACTCCAGTTCTACGCTCCTGCCATCCAGATCCTTCAAGCCTTATATAACACCTTTAAATCATCCGGCTGTTCCCGGAAACGCACTCGTCTGTGTCTTCTACTTCCTCTGCATACGATCTTCATATAAGCACTCTGCACTTCGAAACCGCAAGTCCTGATCTTTTAAATCTAAATTACCGACGCGAGATCTTGCGAATACCAAACCAGAATTTATGCGTTCGCTATTTATGTAACAAAAATGTTAATAATTAGCATTGAAGATAATTAGGATGGGCTAAAACATTCGATTTTCATTCCTTCCTAAAAAATCCATTCCGTCTCTAAAAACACCTTTTTCAGGCTATATAAAAGTTCTTCTCTCAAAAGAGTAACGTTCCGAGACACCCTATATAGTGTTAATGGGATTAGATAATTAGTATTGAACATAATTAGGATTGTCTAAAATATTCGATTTTTATTCTTTCCTAAAAGATCCATTCCGTCTCTAAAAAACACCTTTTTCAAGGTAGATAAAAGTTCTTCTCTCAAAAGAGAAACGTAACGTAATACAACAGCCTACTTGCTAATTAAGAATCTTGATTTTAGTAGCTCGCTTAATGATTAATAATAATCCGCAACGACGAGGCACAGACGAGATAAATTATACTTGCTCGACTTGCAGATTTATGTATTTATTTGCATCCTAACGCAACACGAAACTTCCTCGATTGCAATTGCATATAAAAAAATACCGGAAACTGTGTGATGAGCCACTTGGCATGTAAATAAATCGAAAAACCGAGCACCATCGACACCTTCTCGTCCAATTGACGCCTCTTAACGTTCATTAAGATAATCACGTGAGCCCATAGAAACATGTTCTGTTTCTCAGCAGAGCGGTTGAATCGAAAGTGCATCGCGTGAATAATCGCACAAATTAACCAGCGGTTCGCGGCGTCGCTGGTACCCGCAGCTTTCAAGTTTATCGCTTTATCTAGCGAGGTACGCAAATATTTTTCTCATTAAGCGAGCGACGTTTCGGAGCCGAGCGAGATTTTGCCAGCTGAAAAAAAATCTAACTCGCGCGAAAAAAATTTCCTCTCGTGCGAGGAGAAAATCACAGAATTTTAACCACATACCCAGGCGAAAGCTAATGAGCGATGCGGAACTTATCAGCGCGAGTGCACGCGATAAAAATGCATCTAATAATGAGAGAGCAGCTATTAATCGCGAA